TCCAGCACTAATTTCGAAAGGCCACCCTCGTGGCAAGCGCTGGCCGGATTTAAAGATGGAATCTCGACACATATTTGGATTACCCCCCACCCAGTAATAGTGACTATAGGGGATAATAGGGATTATATTAGGGTCCTCTTATAATCCTATTATACCACCATTACAGGGCCCAACCGTTTCAAGCTTGCACCTCGCCCTGCTGTTTCTTCAATTATTTCTCACACTTTTGCTGACACCAATGTCCTTCTTTGGTCAAGGGGAGACAGGTTCATTACGATTCGCCATCTCATGGTATGCGAACAGCCTCGCTTAGCCCTCCTTTGATCTTGAAATCGCTCCATCAAGTGCTTGCAGCAAAATTTTGCTGAATCATCAGCTGACTGAAATCTTCTGTCCAAACCAAGCAGCCCTTACGCCAGTTTCATTATCTCACTACACTTCCAGAGGTCCAGAACCAAAACCCTCCAAATCCGTAAAACACTCAACCACCACACCAGACTGTGAGAATGGCCCTGATGAAGGTCTTCCAGTCTCTATGCTTCACCACTGCTTGCGAGCTGGGTACACATCCAATTTCCCCGAAACCCGTGACCCCGCACCCCAACCCCTGCGCACTTCACCCAAACCCTAGACTCCGGCGGACCCCTTAACCATAGAACCCTATCCCGCCCCCTTGACCCTTGACCATAAACTCCCAAACCCCTAAATACATATCCCTAATATGGCTTTGGGCACATTATAACAAGACCTCCACATGCCCCATATTCGATCTACTTAAGAGGGACTATACACCCTAAATCCCCAAACCCTAAACCCTAAACCCCTACACCTTGAATCTCCAAACACCATACCGGCTCGCGCTGTCAGATGCGGCCAGCGAACAACTCCGCTTTCGGGCTCGCACGTAATGTAGGTTTGTGCCGAAATTCTGGTCCCCGGTTTTTGGGGTTTAGAGTCTAGGGCTTTAGGGTCTTAGGGTTTAGGGCAGATGTTGGGCAGTTTGGGTCCAGGTATGTGAGCCATAGTCCAAATCCCCCGCCTCAAGAACCCCTATAATAGTCCCCCATATAACCCCCTACATAACCACTTTTGAATAGTTTAGACTCTAGCTCATGTGGGGTTTACAGGTACAAGACCCTGGAGGGATGGACACCGTCTTTGGGGATTTTGGAAATCACACAAGGAACATGTGATAGTTTCCCAACATAGAGGGAACCCAATATAGACCCCCAAATACTATAGTCCTTATTATGGGGACCCCCAAGAAGGTACCCCTGATTTTGGGAAACCCCCATGTAGGTCGTTTAGAAATCTTGACAGGATTGCAACCTAAAGCCTTAAAAGCTTAAACCTTGGTCGTGTGGTCTGGTTTGATGGCATTCCCTAGTTTTCTTACTCTTTGGAATGTCCTGGGGAAACGTGAATTTGGCACTTACCCTTGTCTGCGCGCGGCACGAATCAAGACAATGTGTGATGAGAACCCAGGACTAGGATTCGCTGCTTCAACTTTGGCTGATGCCATGTTCCAGTCTGGGGGCAGTCTTGTGGGAGTGGTACCTACAACCCTGCTGTACACTAGGATCCAACTGGTAGTTTCTCAAAGTAGGCGGACCCCAATATAGACACCAGAATGCTATAGTCCTTATTATGGGGACCCCCCAAAATGGTACCCAGATTTTTGTGAAACCCCCAAATCTTGCTACCCCACACATTGCAACCATGTACTCCAAGGTGTGCTGGGCTAGCTTTCAGAAGGTAAGGCAACGAAGGACACAGCTTGGGATAGCAAACATGGAGCTCATTGGGGAAATTCTGGAAGGATTGTAGGCCCTAAACCCCCTAAGCTCAGACGCTAGCTTCTGCCCTTGGTTCATGTTCTTGCAGTAAGAGTTTTGCTAAACACAAGATGTCAATGTGTGGTTGAGGGCATTTGTCAGAATTGTGTCAGGACGCTGAAGGAAGATTAGTGCTCGCAACATCTTCAAGTATATACATGCAGAGGCCTGAGTTGAGTAAGACAATTCCAAAGCATAAGCATTATCATAACGATACAATCTTCCCACTACATCAGGCTCCTACCGTTGTATGGTGGTCCAAGAAGTCCCCTCCGTCCTGGTTTAAGCTCTACAATGATCTGAGAAGTTAACAATAGCATTGGGGCCGGCGTCATCTTGCAACTCTGAGAAGGAGCTGGCGGGAGATGTTTAGGGCTTAGGGTTTAGGGATGGCCACTCAAATTTGCTAATACTAAGTGGACCATAAATCCGAATTGTACAGACCTGGCATTATTTCATCTTTGTTGCTTGGACTGTTACTGTGCATGGGGGAGCGGACCTATGGCCCCTCAATTTTTCGATTCGTGACGAGAGCAAATTCAGGCACTAGCGACATCTCCAGAGCCCCCTAATATGGTAACCGCTCTCAGAAACCTCAGTGCATTTGCAGGTTTAGGACTTCAAAGGGATCAGGGGGGCTAGGGTGCATGCGCTGCATTGGAAGCTGGTACCCTGGGGTTGAAGCCATCTCTACAAGTTGCTTCAGACCTCTAAGTCCTGTGAGGCCTACGCAACGCGACTCCTTTGACGCCAGTCGTGCTATACAGCATCGAAAAGATTCGGGTGGAACATGTACCCCATAGCAATGATGTTCTGAAAGCCAGTATCGCCGCTATTGCTTCTACAAATGTCATCATTGCTATCCCTGGCATAGAAAGCTCAAGACGGACTCACACCTTGCACAATCCACCGGCCCCTCAGAACCCCAAACCCGTACACCTGCACACTAACAGCCAAGCCCTGGACCCCAAAGCCTAGAGTCTTTAGGGGTTTAGGGGTTTAGGGGTTTAGGGGTTTAGGGGTTAAGGGTTGAAGGTCCCCAACCTAGAGAATGGCTTCAAAACTTGCTCCGAGCCTACCCTGAACTTGCTAAACCCTAGTGTAGGCCCCAATCCTTCACATCCTGGGTTGCTGTTAAGAGAATTAAAGTAAGTTGCTATAGTAAGGCAACCCTATCATATACTATATATCCATGTTCTGGTAACTTAATTTACCCTCCTTAAAAGCAATCCAGAATCCTACACGCAAAGTCCATCCGAGAGATGCACTGTCTTGGCCCGTAGGTTCTGACGGCGCATGTTTTGCGGCTCATCAAACCTCCAAAAACAAGGATTGATGGTTCAGGTTTTAGGCCCCTAAGAGCACACACCGAAAGAGTTACATCCAGTATAGCGCTGTTCTGAACCAATGTGGTCCCTGGTGTTTTTCTTAAAACCTTCGAGATACAGAACAGGTTCTACAGAGGTTTCCTGAAAGGTCATTTCGACATTCCATGAGAAGGATTGCTGAGGTACCTTGACAAGGAGTCTAGGTCAGTTGGAACGACATAGAAATATTTGAGAATATCCATTGGGTCAGCAAAGCTTCTTCAATGTCCGATGCGTTGGATTCTCGCGCACAAGCCACCCCTCAAAAGCATAACAGCTTTAAGAGACCTCCTTTTCAGGAGGCATTCCTTTCACTGATTCAAACGAAGGGGGTGCGGCCCCCCGCAACCCCTGAGGAAGCGGGTGATCAAGTACTCCGTTTCTTTCCAAAGCTCTGTGACTACAATTCAATCACGTCAGTAAGCCCTAAACATTGAACAATAAATCAATAACCACAAGAATCATCATCATCATCATGGAAGTAGCCAAGGCTTCAACAACAGCTCACTGCAGGACAGTTTCGATGTGAAACAGCTCTCAACTGTGGGGTTGAGAATCTCCCTTGACTCCCTCATGTCCAAGTATCATCACACAGCTGAAGATATGCCTGCCTCAGCATGTGGGCGCCACCTGATATGGAGCTGAGTGTGTAGTTTAATGTTTCCACTTTCCTCCGCCACGTAATAGGTTTCCGGAGTTGGCTGAAAAAGCACAATCAATGGGAGGGTAGTGTGCAAAAACGGGAGGCAGCTTCCTCTTAGCTTTGAGTACATGTCAGCAAACCCACTTGGGGATTTCAAACTTATAGTCCTTTTTTGGTAAATTGGGGGCCAAAAAACATTCGGACCCAATCAAGGGCTCATTTTTGACAGCCTTCCAACTTTGACATTACCAACCCAATACGCTCTGTACTGCACAGTTGTTAATTCCATTTCCATTTGATTCTTGATCATTCGGGTAATATCCCTAGACCCGACATATTGCCAAATAACCCCTATACTAACCCCACATAGCCCGCATGTAAGCCCTATTTAACCCGTATTAAAAACATATACTGGACCAGACCCAAAGCTCCCAAAGCTATAGATCTTAACCCCAACCCCCCCTCAGGTCATGAGACAGTTCTTTATGGGTTTAGGGTTTAGGGTTTGGGGTTGAGGGTTTATGGGACAAGTCTTTAGGGTACATATTTTTAAGCCCTTTAGACCTTCCGTTTGCAGTCAGCTTTGCTAGGGTATAAGCTTTAAGGCTTACAGTCCCCGTCAAGTAGATAGAATGTGGGGAATGCTGGGATCTGATTATGATCTTGGGCAAGTCCATATTCAATCTACTTAAGCGGGACTATAGGGTTTTAAAGTCAGGGGCTTTTTTGAGTTGTAAGAAAGACAGGAATTCGTTCCCTTTCCCAAGCCGAGTGAAACCTTGACATCCTCGTGTCGCTATGGTTAAGGGTTGTAGGTTTATGGTTTAGGGGGTTCGTGCTTAGGGTTTGGGGTAACTCCTCTTGCTACGACGAAAAGGTGACCATCAGCATTAACGCTACCCCAAAATCTAAAGCTTAACGCATGAAGCCCTAGCCAAGTGACTGTAACCCCTTCAAGCCCTGAAATCATGGCCCTAAATCCTCTCAATCCTACAACCTCTGCATCCTATACCCTACATCTCCCCGAAACCCAAAACCCCAAAACCCCAAACTCTCACCCCAAAACCCTCAGCCCAAGACCCAAAAATCTTTAAACGCTAACCCAAAGAGGTAAACCCTGAATGTCTCCTGGCCTTTGCTTTCACCGGCCTTTATTTATAGGCGCACGGTGTAAGACTGGCCTGCATAGGGTTTAGGGTTGAGGGTTTGAGGCATAGGGTTTAAGATTTTAGAGTTGATGGTTTTGGAGCTTGGGGTTTGGGTTTGGCGTTTACATTGGGCCTAGGATTCAGGAAGCCTTTGATGAGAAACATGTAAGGGCACTACATTGGGAATATCAATTCGTAGACGGCCGGGGCCTAGGATTTCAAGATTCAAGCGCTTAAGGGCTAACCCTAAACCCATTTGACCATAAGAGCCTGCTGTGATTGCGCTTCAATAGCGGTTTTGGGAAACTCAGGGTTGGGTTATCAGCTACAATCAAGATTTCCCAGACAATTAGTGGACATGGGCTCCTAATGAGCGAATATATTATAGACTATACAAAACTCCAAGACAGACTCCTAGGTCCACCTAAATGGTTCCCTTGGTAGGCCTAAATATTGACAGTAGCTCATATGAGCCATTGTCTAAACTCCTAATAGCCCCATTAGTAACCCCTATAACACTCCCCTATATAACCCCCTACATAATCCCCGTAGACTATAGCTCACATGGGCTTGCAGTTGTGGGGATGGGGTTCAGGTAAGAGGGGGGGAGGGCTTGCCACTCAAGGACATGGGATGCAAGTTGTCCTGACATCTTCTTCGCATCATGTATGAAATCACCCATTAAATCGCAAGAAAGAGTCAACTTTCAGTGAGTTTGGGGGACTCCCAGCCCTGGCCCCACCCCCCCCCTTGCCTTCCCCTTTGCTCCAGTGCTCGCCCAACACCATATGAGCCATAATCTAAACTCCTAGTATCCCCATATCCCCAATAGTAGTCCCCTTAATCCCCTATATAACTCCCCCAAGAGAGTTTAGACTATGGCTCACATCCCAATGCCGGCCCTTCAAGAACAAAAGTTGGTGGATGTGATCCCGGTCCAAAGGAGGCAAGCCTAGCGTAAGGGGACGGTGACCCGACAACCCTGAAGCCCCAAACCCTGAATCCTTTGCTTGTACCCAAAGATCTCAGTTTATATTTAATCCCCCTTAAGTAGATAGAATATAAGGTTTAGGATTTAGGGTCCCCCTTAAGTAGATATTACCCCAATAATGGAGAATCAAATGGAAAAGAAAATGGAAAATGAAATGGAAACTAGGGAATATATGGGGATTATTAGGGTTTAGGGTTTAGGGTTTATAGTCCCCCTTAAGTAGATAGAATGTGGGGTTTGGGTATATTATAATAAGATCCCCATATACCCCATATTCTATCTACTTA